AGGCGGATAGTATAAAATGGATAAAATAAAATAAAAACCCTTTTCACAGCGCGCATCACGCGCTCAAACTCATCAAAAGTCGACAAGTTCAACAAGCAACAACGACTTATCCAAGTGACCGCTGCAGAACGCACGCGAGAGAGAGACGAGGCTGTCTTATCCACCTTTTTCTTCAACGCGGAAGTAAGCCTATGGGTGAGACTTCCGGTTCATTAGCCGCTATAGGTAAATAACGAGGAGAATAACAACGTGCAGTGAACGGTAAAACTGTTTGCACTACAAACCAGTGTGTTCATAATTAAGATAATACATTAAAATAATATGATAAGACACACCAACTTTCAATATCAAGCAGCAAAACTAACTGTTTTGTTCAGCTAAAAATAGCTGGACGGAGTGGACGCAGATGAGACCGGAAGCCAGACCCATAGAATTTCCAAATGGCCGCGCCCATTTTTACGACAAGAAAAAGGTGGATAAGTGAGTGGGGAATTTACCGAACGTGGCACTTGCGCGAGTTAACACTGTATGCAATACCCGCAACCTCACACCAAATTTCAGGCCGTGTAGATAGGCAAGCATATATACAAATAGAAAAGTTTTCTACGCTCAATTTGATTTGATGAAAGTCACGGGACCTATTACTCTCACGTGCAGTGAACGGTAAAACTGTTTGCACTACAAACCAGTGTGTTCATAATTAAGATAATACATTAAAATAATATGATAAGACACACCAACTTTCAATATCAAGCAGCAAAACTAACTGTTTTGTTCAGCTAAAAATAGCTGGACGGAGTGGACGCAGATGAGACCGGAAGCCAGACCCATAGAATTTCCAAATGGCCGCGCCCATTTTTACGACAAGAAAAAGGTGGATAAGTGAGTGGGGAATTTACCGAACGTGGCACTTGCGCGAGTTAACACTGTATGCAATACCCGCAACCTCACACCAAATTTCAGGCCGTGTAGATAGGCAAGCATATATACAAATAGAAAAGTTTTCTACGCACAATTTGATTTGACGAAAGTCACGAGACCTATTACTCTCTATCCAATCACATTGATGGATAAAAATAAAATTAAAATAAGCATGTAACGACCACAAACGGAGGAAAACAGCGGAGTAAAAGTACCGATACATCACTTAAAATGTACTCAAGTAAAAGTAAAAGTAAAATTTTTTTAAAAACTCAAAAAAGTACAATTACTGATAAAAACTACTTAATTACTGTAACGTGAGTATTTGTAATTCGTTACTTCACACCCCTGACGTCCTGTTACACTGAAACTTTCTGTTCAAAAGTCACAATTTACAAAATAGACGTCTCTGCCACTCAACGTTCGGATGTTTCTTTTGCTTCTATAATTTATATATCATAATCACGGTAATGGAGCACTTAAACTACAGTGACATTATATAGTCTCTGTGTTCTCTAATTAAGAGACTTTGACTTTTAACACACTTTTAAAGGGTCTGAGAGTAACACAATTTCAATCCGCTGTATGTATGTGCTGTCCATGTGGAAGAATTGACAATAAAGCAGACTTGACTTGACTTTATTCAAATATCTAAAAACAACCACTACATTATACCCCACACATATAACATTGCATATGAGTTCAGGAGATGTCAGTTTCTGACTTAGTGTTCAATATAATGCTGTACATTTTAACATGTTATATTAAGGCAATGAAGCAATAACGTATTGTGGTGAAATTAAGAAAATAAAAAGATGAGATATTTCATTAAATACATTATTTTGCAAGGAGCAAGGAAGTAAGAAGAGAAAACCTTGTGACTAGAAGGAATACAGCTACAGCTGGAAAATAAAAAATAATTAAATTGGCTACCTATTAGATTGTTTTATTAATGTCTACTACTACCCCAACCCTAAACCCAGGTTGTTGGGCAAGTTACTCTGAAAATGTAATCAAATTACTGATTACTCCTTTTAAAAGTAATCACGTTACTGTTCTGATTACTTTATTTCAAAAGTAATTAGTAATTAGTTACATTACTAGTTAGGTTACTTTTTCCTCCATGAAATTTATGAAATCCCAGCATACACGCTCCCGATAAATATTTGTTATTAAAGCATCAACATTCAGAACACTGTTATTTTTAACTAAAGCAAGCGGCTGCTGCGTGCATGGTTTGGATGGCAGAATGCCAGCAAAGAGCGCTGCATTTATCATCTCTAAAAGACATCTCAGTTCATCGCAATCTCACAAATCTCTGTTATAACATAATAAATATATGCATAATGAATCTTTCATAATGTCTACAATTCGTGTGTTATAATGAGAGGATTCATGAGCACGCA